GCTGTAAACTCATAAGTTTCTGTATGAAAAGAAACTAGATTAAGTGGTGAGTATTTCTTTTTCTTTGGACAGGTTGTCCTATGGCAGAACAATTGGGGTGAAAGCTAAGGTACTTCCAATGGTATGAAATCAAAATCTGGATGAAACCTAAGCTGTTAGTAATGGAATGTTTCAGATATAGGGGAGAACTAACGATATTTCTAGTAGGGCAACGCTTTCAAGGTCGGTTTCTCTGTGAGCGTATATTCTATTAATATGGATTCATTGCAACACACGGTCACTTTGCTAGTACATGCTAAAAAGAATGAGAAGTTATGAACATATTCCTCAGGGAAGGACATGATGCCGCCTCACAAATTTTGAAAGAAAAAATTATGAGGGGCAAAAAAAAGATATACCATTTGAAGTGAACTGAACCCATTTTAGAAAAAAGAAAGGAACTTGAGGAGGGGAGGGTAGGTAAAGGTGGGCCGGGAAATAGTTTACGAACAGCCAAAACAGTCTGGACAGGATATAATGTCCAATGAATCACAACAATGATTAAGATAACAGTGGCAAGAGCTTAGGTCACAACAGTTTAGCTGTCTATTACTTTTGCAAATACCAAAATGCATCCCTGAGTACCATTTGATGAGATTTCCTTTTATTTCTGGCAATGCACTGGTATTCAACTTGTAAAAGTAAACAGGCAACATCAAAATTTATCAGAAATATATCAGGAAAAGAGATATACATCACTTACTCTCGTTACGGTCTGCAATGCGATATTCCTTTTTCCATGCATGCCTGCCCTTGTATATAGAACCATCATGGTGGCTGCTTTTAGGAAATATAGCCATAGGAACTACACCGTCAAAAGGGTAACCAGCCATCTGTTCATCCCAGCCTTTTACTCCACTGCTGCTGGCCATGCTACGAGATCCATGAGGAAATCTATCACCAAAGAGCATAAAAGGCCAATATCAGCATCTGGCATAAATAAGATGGTACCATCAGTCATGATTGAAATCGTGACGTTAAGCTTGAAATCCATTTCTATTTCTTTCCGCAACTTTTTCTCTGTATTGGGAGTCACTGAATAATCTAAGAGATTATCCCGTTTGCCTTAAAAAATCAACAGAATGATAAATAAAGACCCAATTTTGGGCCACAATCCAGATCCATAAATATAGCAGCCAACTAAAGGTGAAAACTTTAGCATAGAACAAGAAAACACACCTGCAAACACGACGGGCAGCTGAATTATGAGGCAAAACTCGTCGCAGCGGCCACCAGCTAGGCGGAGTAGAGGCCGTCAAAGAGAGGAGCGACCGCAGAGGAGAGGAGAG